GCTAGCCTTGAGCTGAAGAGCTGAGGGACAGCGCCCAGGCCCAGAGTTCAGGCCCCACAATCGGACCCAAAAACAAAAAAACAAAAAAGAAGAAATCCCTTTTCCTAGATACCCTAATCTTAAAGCTCTCAGTTCTGAGAGCAAACCTTCTCCTTAGAAAGCCAAATGAGCCAGGCACTGGTGGCTCATGCCTATAATCCTAGCTATTCACAAGGCTGAGACCTGAGGATCATGGTTTGAAGCCAGACTGGGCAGGAAAGTCCATGAGATTCTTCTCTCCAATTAACTATCAAAACCCAGAAGTAGATTTGTGGCTAACCTTGAGCAGAAAAGCTCAAAGACTGCCCCCGAAACCTCAATTCAAGACCCAAGAATGGCACCAACACCTCTTCCCACAACAAACAGAAAGCCACATGAGGAAGCTAGGCATTCCAACAGGTTCTGAAGAATTCAGGTTTCTATTTCTACTCTGCCTGAAAGAAAACAGGAGACTTATATGTTATCATTTAGAGTTATGGGGAGATTGCATTTTTATTTACATTTAGTCCCTTGCATTCTGGTCTGTGAATGGCTTCTACTTGGATTTCAAGTAGGCTCCTGGTGGGAGGAGGTGGGGTTGGGAGAAACCTCTTATAGAAAAGCAGAACCCAAATCTCTCCAGGCTCCATAACTTTGCTCTTGCTTCAGAAAAAGAAGTCATCTCTCCTGAGATGTTCTGTGCTTTATATCCTGAAATTTGCCACTGGCTGTTTCTTGGCGTGAGGTGAGAAGTGCAGTATGCAGTGCTGCAGAGGATAGAGGACAGCAGGAGTGCAGAATGAGGCCTCTGCTTTCCAGGAGTGTTCCAACTTTCAGGAGCCTCCAGGATGTATTCAGACTCCTCAGGACCTGGTTCTGTGGCAGACAGGATATAAGGAAAGCCCAGGACAGCACTGAGTTCTAAAGGCAAAGGGTACGTGGTGAGGGGCCAGGATGGGCCCCTGTGTGGTGCCAGAGTGAGCAGCCATACTACTTGAGCCAGAGAGGGTAGGTGCCTAGGGCCTGGTCCTTCAGAGATGAGCAGAGCTGGGGCAGAAAGACCAATTCCAGTGTAACCAGGAGGCTACAGGAAATAATAATGATGGCTGTTGATTTGGCATTAAAGACATGATATTGTCAAAGCCACAATGGCTGAGAGTGGCACCAACGCGCTGCAGCCAGAAAATGGGTTGGCCAACACATGTGGGAAGAACAGATGATGCTGTGAGCAGCCCAGCCAACACCTCCGCAGGCGGTCTTCACAGGTCTTCACAAGAAGACCGCTGTGCCTGGTGAGCTACTTTGGACAAAGTCTCCCATACATCCTTCAAGGCACTTACATAGCATATTTCTGTGTCCATTCTCTTGCTAGTCTGTTGTACCTGGAAGAAAAAGCAGAGGAAAAGACACCCTCACTTGAAACTGTCATGTCCCTTCAATGTGGGGCAGAGAACAAGACTGATATGGGGGAAATGCTGCTGCCTGTCAAACATCTAGGACTGATAGATGACTGGTAATCCCAGCACTTGGAAGGTAGAAAAGAAGGGTTGAGAGTTCAAGGACAACCTGGGCCATATAATGAGAGCCTATTTCAAGAAACAAACAGAAAAAACATGCTCCTGTTTCCTGCACCTGTATCACCAGTCACACACATGGCTACACTCTGGTGTAAAAGCTTGTCCCTGGCTAAAGGCTGGGTCTGGAAATGAGTGGTTAAGCAGAGTTGGCAGTGAGGGTATGCTGGTGACGCAGTGACACTGATGACTGCTAACTTCAAGCAGCAAATGGGCAGCAGCAGTGTAGTGGAGCCAGTTGTCTAAGCAGACAACCCCTGGTTTATCTATGTCAAAACCCTTTAGGTTTAATCCAGAAACCTTTTTTTTTTTTTTTTTGGGTCCGGTCATGGGGCCTGAACTCTGGGCCTGGGCGCTGTCCCTCAGCTCTTCAGCTCAAGGCTAGTGCTCTACCA